ACCTTCTTTTCTTTCTAGAATGACTTCAAATTGTAACCTGAAACTACATTTGTTTATCTTAAGTAGCTCTTAGTTAGTAACATTATATATCTATCTATTTATAATGAAATTTTATTGTTTTATTGCCCCTTTTTATTGCCCTTTGAACTGTGTCTAACTGCTATCCCTGCCATTATAAGTTGTAAATACCTCGGGGAACATGCAGCTCACGTTACGCTATCGAATTACATTACCCACGAGCTGCTCAAGTGCATGCCTTGTGAACCATTTTAATTATATTATTATTATTACTTATTTTACCTTATCTAGTCTTAAATAACTTAAAAAAGATCCATACTTTTAATTTTAGTTACTTTTATAATAATAAATGATAAATAAATATAAAAAACAAGAAATAAAGTAGTTTTTTTTTAGTGATTATAGTAAAGCACTTAACAATTTTTACTTAATTAAGTAATACACCAGAGAATATAGACTAATCACATGCACAAAATAGACAAATTCACTTAATTCTACAAATTTTCCTGGCTTTCTAACTATGCGACAAAAGCCGTTACAAATTCATCCAAGCTAGTCGTTAACTTCCCCCACAGGAACGATGTTGCTACTCCGAGTGAAATTGGCGGTTATCTGTTCAGAACACAACGTTATACAATACACCATTTGATAGATGAAAACCTTGACATTCTATTGGTTATGGGTCATATATATTGAAATGTAAGAGAGAACTTTCAGGAGGGGTCTGATTTTCTATTCGATAGCTCAGTAACCAAATAAAATTGAAGGCTATAAAAATGATGATCTGTTTGAGCAATAATGATTTTATAGAGAGTATTTTACGTTTAATTCCATACATTTTCGAGGGGTGATGGATAAAATAGGGATGATGAAATACTAAGACAAAATGTGTCATGTGTGTCACAATAGTGGAAATTCAGGATTTTTTTATATATTTCCTTGTAGAATTAAGAACATAAAACTTGTATACTATTAAAATATGGATTATTAGCTAAGATTTTATGCTATTATAATTGGTATAACATAAACAAAAAGAAGTGTAATAAAATTTTGAATGTAAGACACTAAAACCTTGTGTCATGCGCAGCAAAGGGCACCCATGGAGAAAGGGTTAATACCTGAAAGGTACTCATTGGTACAGAAAGGGTTAATGATCTAGGGCTTTTGTTCACTCACCTGCCTGAGCTTAAGATAAAGTTGTTCATGAAATGGTTTTTTGGAGAAGTACCAAAAACGTTCATTCTGAGCAAATATCTTAGCCTTGGTCTCCATCAAAAACCTTACAGGTTCCTGTATTCCCATGATTACCACATCCACAGCAACTGTTAAATACACTGTCGTATCTGGAAGATACAAGTGGAAAAAAAATCAATAAAGACAAATTATCAATAATAAAGCATATATGTAGGTGATTGCTATGTATTGGAAATTAGATAATACTTAAAGGGTCAGTAAATGTGACTGACCTTGTAACCACAAATTAACCATTAGTGTAACCATACTGTAACTTTCAATATCTTTTGTGTGACTTCTTGAAATCTGATAAGCTTTCAGTAAACTTTACAAGTCCTTTGTACACAAGAAAATCAATTTTTACGAAAGATTTCTCTGTGAATATATACAATTAAAGTGTTAACTGCTTTGAGTGTAAGTAATTTTCATGTGAAGATTAAAAATATTTTTCTTCATCTGAAAGATTTCAAATTTTATTTGCAGAGCCTCTAAAATCTCCCAAATAAATATAAAATGTTTTTTTTAACAAAGCTTTATATTTTATCTGTTATTTTTTCTATCCTAACAATATATGGACTGGGATGACTGACCTTGTAACCACCATAAAAAATAAATCCAACTTCCCTTTTTTTTTCTTTCTAGAATGACAGCAGATTGTAATATGAAACTTCATTTCTTTATCCTAAATAGGTTTGAACTCATAACAATATACACACGTTTATATTTAATTTCATTGTTTTATTGCCCCTTGAACTGTACCTAACTAATAATCCCACTAAACAAGTTGTATATCACTCAGTGCATGTAGCTCACATTACTGCATACCTCATGAAGAAATTTTATTATTATTATTTTAGCTAATATAACTTTATCTAACCTAATAAATTTTTAATTTTTACATTTTAGTTACTTTTATAACAATAAGTAAAAATATGAATGAAAGACAAGAAGTATAGTACTTACCTTTGACCCCATGTTTTTTTTACTAAGGATTGCCAATGTAATTTAAGCCTACTTTTTTGTACACTAATTGTACCAGTACACACATCTTTTTTTTTTTACCTAAATAATGCACCTAAAAATAAAAATAACAACTCACACAAAACAATGTTCTAGTGGCTTACATTCAAAATTTTATTAAACTACTTTTTGTTTATGTTATACCAAT